TTACTAATTTGATTATCAATGCAAACATGAATGTTTACTAATTTGCATAGACAAAATATACACAAGTAGTTTTATGCAAATCAAATTTGTTTTACAGTTTGTAAAATGTACAATTACAACTTGTAAACTAATAATTATGGAGAATAAACATGAACATTAGAAAGAATGAACATCCAATTCGATTATTGCATTAATTTCAGTTCAAATTTTAGTTTTAGACGGACGTTTTTGATAGTATATCTAAGTTTACACGGTCTGATGATTGTAGAACATCATATCGTACTTTCTGTGTGTGTGGGGGGGGGGGCATTTTTGCTCTTATTTTTTTTTCGCTGCAATAATCTGAACAAAACAGTAATAATAATAGAAAAAAACATTTGTACAAAATAACGGTACACAAATATGTACGTATCATAAACAGGCATTTCACAAGTCATTTTCTGCGATTGGAAATATTACGTGTACTATTTTAATGACAAATTACATCCTACTCGGTAATCTTACGCACTGTTTGTCAGACACTCACCGTGTCGAAGTGTGTTGGTACAACAAAGTTCAACAATATGACAGCCAGAATAATAATTTCTTAGCCGCTTTTCATGACACGGACAGGACAGGGCATTGACATGGATCGCTGCTCGATACTCCATACTCTCGTATGCACGTTAGTTTTTGTGTTCTTTGCGACTTGCGAAACGTAATTTTTTTATTTTAACACCGTAATTTTTTTGATATTTTGTGGTGTAAGTCGTTAAATGTATGGGCTCTCGTAGATTTACAATTCTAAACCTGATAGTTGTGGGTAAAATAGTATAAACCCCACAAAACCGAAAAAGGTACATTAGAGTACAGATTTACATGAACCATAATGGGACTGCATTAAAATAGACAATGGGGGATTTGAAAATAAGAATTCGAAAACATATAACAGCGCCTAAAATAAAAATGAACTTACCGGTTTATCCATTTGAATTTTATACTGGTAAAGAAATTGGGTTTACGCGTTAAATCCATGCACAGTAGTGGTATATTAACCACCCAATATGTTACAAAAGTCACCAGCCACGACCCTTAAAAGACATAACGAAAGAGTTATTACACCACGTTCCCATCAAAACCCAAGTATAGTCGTATTATGTAAAACTGTATATTACAAATACGGCAATGTCCCGATAGTTTTGGTTACCTCCGTGGAGTTGGTACATTCTTAAATAGACTAGATCGTCATTCCTTTTAAACTTTCAAAAAATACTTACCGAAGCAAAACATGACAAGTTCATTTTGCCCTGAAAATTGGTATATTCTGTCCCAAGTGTCCACAAATAAGCCAGGATTGGACAGAGTGATGTTGATTCGTGTGTCCACCATTATGTCTACAGTAATATAATTTAACTCAAAACAGGTAATTGGCGCTCTAGTGACATATTAACAATCCTGATATTAATGAAAATCGGCCTTGACGATACAAGTCACCGAAGTAAGGTCATTCGTGGGCATTCGCCTATTGCGGGGAAACAGAGACGCTTCCATTTGTACTGGGCAAACGAGATAAGCTACCAATTCAATTGCAAAAGCGTGTACATATTTGTGTGAAACAACTCTCAAAATTGCAATTAAAGGAGAATTGGAACGTTTCCCAATTGCGATTTATAAATTAGTATAACAATATAACTATAACATTATAACTACAACTGAGCAAATACAATAGTGGTTTAGAATAAGCGAATTTCCGAAGAATGCCTTAACTGAATCAATTGAAATCAAATCAAATTGGATGGAAAATATAGAAAAAAATTCAAATGAGTTTTGGTATGGTAAAAACAAAATATAATGTATTAGTAAGTAAAATTGATAAACTGTCAAACATTGTAAAACATTAACAGATAAATACATATAAACAAGTGTAACAAGAGCAAAACATAACTACTTGCTGTAAAAAAAACTCCCGTGTGCTGAAAATATTGGATGCAGATTAAAAATTAATTGAAAATTTAAGATTTGCTATTCAAACAAGAAGCTTGGCAACCAGTATGTGCCTGATATTTAAGATGCCAATCAATGTGAACCACCGTTACAGTATTGAAGTTTATAATACGCACAGAAAAAAAAATGATTTTACATATGTTATTTGACGTCTAATTTATGCCAGACCCCCCGCTTTAAAAATAAAAAGAGAAAACCAAAATATTTTGATATATTTATATGTAAAAGACCCCCTCAATTTTATATGGCCAACCCTTAATCTGTTTCAAGAGAAACAACAATCGTTTAGAATACCATATCTGATTAGATGATTAGACACTTTGCTGAAATGCAATATTGTGTTCACCGTTTTTTACCACTTATCCAACCTAAGGCTTCTGATTTCACGACACATTAGTACGCCTAAACACGCTTTCTATATATAGTAAGGTGAACTGACCCGGCCCACATCAGTACGTAATCCGTATCATCGCCATGTTACGCTGACGTCAGCCTTTCAGGCACTTCAATTACTATACCATCGTATTTACTACTCTAGCACCATTTGAATATTTAAGCTTGATGTCATGATACCATGACAATTAAAATCAGTGCGGTTTCAATGTGATGTTACTGGTGAGTTCGCCATTTTGCTTATTGTAAATAGTATTTAATTATAATAGACATGTCACGTTCGTTGCTGTTTTACACGCGGTATGTATGTTGCTATGACTACCACTCTTTAAACGTATATGCCGACGCAAGAGATAATAAAATATATTGCACAATACCGGAAAAGTATTCTGTATAGAAAGTGTGGTATCAGGGAACACTTACCTACAACAGTCAACAGGAAAACGCGACGGACCCCGCTCGTTTACAATGCCATATACTCTACTGAATCTACCATCCGACCCGTCTATTTTTACTGACGAATTCGCTTTGATTTACGAATTAATACCAGCAATATGGCGAGCACACAGTGGGCATGCTGGGATGTGTTTCATTGACCCACAGCATGCATGCAGCCTTTATAGTATCAGTTACGCTGTGCACTGCCAAAGTTGAAAGGTAATATTCATCACGGTTATTCTCGAAATAAACTACTGCACCGACTTTTGAGAATGCCTATTACAAAATGTCCACAACATATTATACACGTAAAAGCAAGATGACTGCTATGTAAGAGTAAAAAATATCACATAAATCTTCCTCAAATACACCCATACTACAACACTTTGAAATACTCGTTATTATACGTTCATGCAATATCAACACTTTTGGGTCATCGTCAAACTTGAAAAATGCTGGAGTCCGAAATGTCTTGAAAAATAGTCAAAAATCGCATTTTTGCATGGGGTTTAAGGAAAATTGAAAAAAATGGGTGGTCGGTCGGATTTTTTTTTCTCGTAAATTCAATAAAATTTTGTGCATTTCATGTATTAAAAATCATATTTACTACCGGATTCTGCCATAAATTCGTCCATTCGAAAAATAGCCCTGGGCGATGATTTCACGGCCAGGTGGGCGCTTATTTGGGGTTCAAAATTTCGAAAAATAATCATCAAAAACGTTTTGGGGACTTCTATTTTCATTGAAAAATCCAACTGCGGAGACTTTCAACGCCGCCAGTTGGGCCACACAAGACGAAAGAAAGTATTGCGGAAACTAATCTAAAATTTGATACATTTTTTTCTCTTGCTGAATTAAAAAGTAGACCGCCTGAAATATCATTCCAATGTCACCAATTGTCATTTTTCAAATATATTTTTTTTTAAATTTATTGGCAACGAAAGTATATTTTAAACGAAGTTTCAAAAAAAAAAAACGAACATAACTGCATTGCGTAGTAGCAAACGATCAAATTTGCGCAAAATCCAACTTAGTTTCATCGTGAGCAAATGATTCCGGTCGCATATAAACGCTCGAAGCGGTAGGGTATTCGCCATCTTTTGCAAGAAATGACCGAATAGGTCGCGAATTAACCAATCAAAATGCTGGATGATGCCAACATGTTCAAATTACCATAGTTTTTTAAATATGTTAATGTTATTGAACGCAACGTGGAAAAGATTTGCCGATGTTATAGTACGATCTTTTGGCTTGGATTTTGATGGGGAAAATGGCATGTTTTTTTCCAAATAAAAAATAGTTGTTTTCGAAAGATAAACTGAGCATTAGAAGAATAATTTAACATTGTTTACAGTGATAACAACTCATTGTCGAAACGAGGTTTACTCATTCACGCTAGTCACAATAAACATACTTTTGAATAAAAACTAAATGGACTATTTTACGCGTCAGAAACAATTGAAATGTCCGAAAAATTAAGCCAAAATATTAAAAAAAAACTTTAAAAACTGACGAAAAACCGCTCTGGGTGATTTCTTGGTCCCATTTCATTTTAAAAAAACCCGAACTGCCATTTAACGGCCCAAGGCGAATTTTCGGCAGAATCCGGTACAACAAACGTATTGTTTTTGATTAAAAATAATGTTTTTATTTAATTAAGAATATACTTTGTGCGATGATATTTTTATCACAAATGTCAAAATGGTCTGAAATGCAAAAGACGTGTTTGCTCTTCAGACTTCATAGTATTTGGAACATGTCAGAGAAATACAGATCAGCCCGAGGTTCAAAGTCGCCACTTATCCCCCGGGTACCCCGGGGATCAAACAATTCCTTTTTGAAACCCCCACAATTTCGCTCGGTGACATGAAAAGTATTAGTATTGATAGTAATCGTATTATTGTTAGAACATTTAAAAAAAACATATAATAAAGTCGGTTTGCAATGTGATAGTAGTTTCCATTATTCTATACGATATGAAGTTATCTCCCACAATGCATTGCATATATTTGCAGTGACATGTGACATGTTCATAAGCAAATCAGTACTTGCACTCCGTCAAACGCATCAAACAAATGACATATCAATTTCCATGTAAATGAAACTTCGCATAGATACAAAGAAAATACAATTATGTTCGATGCTATATTAAATGCATTGAAACGTAATCAATGTTTATAACATGTCTAATGTTTTTTTCGATCATCAGGATATGTCTTAGACATTGGGGTTATTCCAATGAATGTCTTGTTCCGCTTAAAGGCGACGTTGTTTCTGAACATAGTGTCAGTTCCGTGTAACCAATCCAGTACACCAGTGAATCCGTAGTTGACGTTGAACCTGCGAAAAAAGTAAATATCGAGGGTAATAGTAGCTGTAATATCGACCACTGTATACTTAGCTGTAGTGAGTACGTGCAGTTGTTAATTCATGTTTTAAAGTTTGCATATATACTAGTCAATTAAATGAAGCAGTATGAATAAGTTTCAGTGTTTTTGAGCATATTTAAATATTGTTTTTTGATACTGCATCCAGAACAAAAAAAGGGTGTGATTTTTCATACAAACAAATTGCAGCATACAAGGCAGTATTCACATTCAATTAAATAATGAATTGAATATACGTTCAGATAAATCTAGGCGCATGCGCATTTCGTCATTAATTCATTTTATTCATATATTTTATGGTAAATCATTTTCTATTGTTCCTAGAGCATTATTTAAATTACTCAAAAATACTCAAAATTATCTATATTGCTTCTTTACCTGATTTCGAGCACCAACGTCTGATGTTTTGACATATTAAAGCGGAGGAGTTGTCACCTGTGCATGCGTCAGATGGCCATAGCGTGTCATTGTTTACAAACAAGCGTCTACCCATGAGCCTTTGCGTTTTTAGTGTGTGTTGTCATCATCGCTTGGGACTAAATTCCCGCGCGTGCGCAGGTGACGACCCTCCCGCTTTAAAAGATTTACTACACACTTCAAAAAGAGAATTATAAAACGGTATATATATTAACCGAGGACACTCACTTCAAATGATGAAAGTCGTGAATTTCCGGAGACTTCATCATCGGAAAATGATACCCGCTATGGTCAAAACTAGTGAAGACCATTGCAATCACCAACCACAGCCAATGTACAATGAGATGAGATCCCATCACGATCGGTCCACCAATCACAGGTAATATATTCGAAAACATGAATTCGATTGGATGAGCGTAGATGCACGTTAGACCAATAGGAGCCGTCCATTCATGATGGAGTTTGTGTATGTGTTTATACAGCAATGGGTGATGAATTATCCTTGTAGAAAAAAAGAGTTGAATTAGTCTTACGTCAGTTTTGAGTGAAATTTAAGGGGTACAACTGATTTCCCATACTAATAATGTAACTATATAATGTCACCTACTAATGGGATGCAGTGGAATGGGTGATGAATTATCCTTGTAGAAAAAACATGTAAATAATGACAGAAAATACCACGGAGATCATTTATTATTTTGTAATAAAACAAACACATAAACAAACTGATCTCTGATTTATCAGGCGTTAGGGTTGACTAGCCAATCAGGTATCATCTTGCATATACCTTCTCATTGACGTTATAACATGTGTAAATTATGATTACCCTATTGTAATAACATTCAAAATGCCGAGGTCCATCTTTCTTACCTGTGTGAGTAGTAGAAAGTTACTTCGACAAAAGCCACACAACCGAGTAGATCGATCAGTATCCTTCCGCCGCTCGGCAAATCACTACTACTTGTACTACATCCACGCCATTTAGCAATGATATAGTACGCGCACATGGCGACCAAGGCGTAAAATAGTTGGTTGATTAGTATCACCTTGAATAACTTTTTGAGTTTTGTAATGTCAAGCTAGTAAAGAGAGAAGAAAATTACTACGTAATTTTAGCATACGTACAGTGCATCATGTTATGAAAAATGTAGTCTAAGATTAAATATTATTTCCAAGGCTATATTATATTTCATTACGGATTTGCCGAAGTATGGTACAACAAGGAAGCTGCGAACGAAACAACATTTTGAAGTCAAACGCCAGTGTAAAAATATCTTATCTGGTCGTTGCTTAAACATTGAGTTAGGATGACACCAAAATACCCCCCACCCTTGAAAGACTACGTTGTTGTGACTGAGGTAATGTTGAACAAGAATAACATCTCTTACAATGTACCAATGTAGCATAATACGCGATTATATATTGAACATTTATACACACCTATGACAACAAAGAATGATGCTTCTCTGAGAACCTTTGATAAATAGTTTATGCCTTTTACGAATATAGAAAATCTATGTTTTCAATTTCACTGAAACTAAATGTATTTACATATACCATCACACGCAGTGCGTTAGCGAGCAAATTTGCTAGTCAGTTCGCAATGTTGCTTCAGACATGCGTCCAGTACTTTCATTGTCGCGCCGTCAATGTTGTGTCGGGTTGTGTACAAGCTCGATAAACCAGCGCCTTGAAAACGTGAAATTATATACCAAACAAAATGATTTCTATGTAATTGATTTGAAATGTAAAGTTGAGGAATTTGTACATAAAAAAACACACATAAAAACGTTATATATATAAATGCACACATGGTACCCTATAATACGTCATCTGATCACCCTAGTGTATTATTACGTAGGATGGTAAAGCTCAAAATGTTGGAAAACAATGTGTTCACTATGAAAGTTCTCTGGTTTCTTTGAATGTTTCGTGTGTTCCTGAGTCATCACATCACACATCGTAGTCACCATATTACGTTTGGTTAAAACTAATACCTTTGAAAATATAGAATTCGATGAGGCATACACAAAGTTTAGAACATACCTTATGAAACAGTGCACGTGTACAGCAAAAAGAAAATAAATACCCATATTTATAAATATATCAGAACTTATTTATAAATATAACTTACCGATTTGTTCAACTGAATTTTATATTGGTAAAGTGATTTAGGTTTACGTGTTACATCCATACATAGTAGAGGGATATTAACGACCCAATATGTACCAAAAGTTGCAAACCATGACCCTAAAAAAAAGTATATACATCGTAAAACAATAGATTTAAAACCGAAGACAAAACCATGATATGCTCGTACACAAACAACAATTGTGTTTATTAAACAAGACACGACATAACTTTTACTTTATGTTCATAATAACTGTACACAATGTACACATTGTGACAACTCACAATAGTTTATGTTTATAATAACTGTACACAATGTACACATTGTGACAACTCACAATAGTTTATGATCATAATAAATGTACACAATGTACACATTGTAACAACACACAATAATTTATGTTCATAATAACTGTACACAATGTACACATTGTGACAACTCACAATAGTTTATGATCATAATAAATGTACACAATGTACACATTGTAACAACATACATTAATTTATGTTCATAATAACTGTACACAAAGTACACACTATGACAACTCACAATAGTTTATGTTCATAAGAATTGTACACAATGTACACGTTGTAACAACTCACAATACTTTATGTTCATAATAACTGTACACAATGTACACATTGTGACAACTCACAATAATTTGTGTTCATAATAACTACAAACAATGTACACGTTGTAACAACTCACAATATTTTATGTTCATAATAACTGTACACAATGTACACACTGTGACAACTCACAATACTTTATGTTCATAATAACTACAAACAATGTACACGTTGTAACAACTCACAATATTTTATGTTCATAATAACTGTACACAATGTACACACTGTGACAACTCACAATACTTTATGTTCATAATAACTGTACACAATGTACACACTGTGACAACTCACAATACTTTATGTTCATAATAACTGCACACAATGTACCCATTGTGACAACTCACAATAGTTTATGTTCATAATAACTGTACACATTGTGACAACTCATAATAGTTTATGTTGATAATAATTGTACACAATGTACACGTTGTAACAACTCACAAAAGTTTATGTTCATAGTAACTGTACACAATGTACCCATTGTGACAACTCACAATAGTTTATGTTCATAATAACTACAAACAATGTACACGTTGTAACAACTCACAATAGTTTATGTTCATAATAACTGTACATAATGTACACATTATAACAACTCTTAATACTTTATGTTCATAATAACTGGACACAATGTACACATTGTAACAACTCACAGTAGTTTATGTTCATAATAACTGTACACAATGTACACGTTGTAACAACTCACAATAGTTTATGTTCATAATAACTGTACACATGGTGACAACTCATAATAGTTTATGTTGATAATAATTGTACACAATATACACATTGTAACAACTGACAATATTTTATGTTCATAATAACTGTACACAAAGTACACACTATGACAACTCACAATAGTTTATGTTCATAATAACTACAAACAATGTACACGTTGTAACAACTCACAATAGTTTTTGTTCATAATAACTGTACACAATGTACCCATTGTGACAACTCAC